AGGAGGGTGGGGAAGCGCTGGGATGGGTTCCCTAGGGAGGGGGTGGAATCTCCATCCCTAGAGGTGTTTAAGTCTCAGCTTGACAAAGCCCTGGCTGGGGTGATTAAGTTGGGATTGGTCCTGCCTTGGGCAGGGGGCCGGACTTGATGCCTCCTGATGTCTCCTCCAGACTCTATGATTCTATGTGCAGGACCGGGAGATTGGGACTGGTAGGGGCAGGAAGGCTCACACCCAAATTAGTCATGATCAGCCCCATTCTAGTCATGGATCCTATTGACATCCAAATACTGAAACTGCCTAGTTGCATTGTGAGCACCTTCAAGGAGCATCACCCACAGCCAGGGGTGCTTGGTGCTCAGTCTATTGTCTCGCCTCTGTTTACCCAGAAACAAATCCAGTGTCCTCCTCCAACTATTGTCCTAAATTAATGGAGATTGCCTATCTCCTAGAGCTGGAAGGGACCTTGAAAGGTCATTGAGTCCAGTCCCCTACCTTCACAGCAGGACCAAGTACCATCCCTGACAAATTTTTGCTCTGAATCCCTAAATGGCCTCTGCAAGGATTGAACTCACAACCCTGCGTTTAACAGGTCAATGCTCAAACCACTGAGCTATCCCTCCCCCCTAACCTACAAAACTCCTGCCCTTGTCCTGAACCTGCAAAAACTCCTGCCCTTGCCCAAGAAAAACTGTTCTGTTGCCTGGATTTAAACTGCATCCGTTCCATTGAGACGTCTTCATCTCCTGCCTGATCGTGCTGGGGGCTGTGCTCTGCTTGTCTCCTGCCCTCCGGACCCCCGGCTCCCATCACCACCTGGGAACCCTGATTAGTGCAAGCTCCATGGAGTGGTGAGGTCTCTCTCTCTCTCTCTCTCTCTCTCCCCCCTCCCCACACTACCTCTCTCTGAGCATAACCTCCTGACCGTGCCCTATGGATTGCTAGCCCTAACATTTGTAATCAGATTCAATTTAGATGTAATATTGTAACTGTTTTGTGTTTGGCTCCTCATATATATCTATTCACTACCCCGAAATAAATCACTTTCATTGGTAAGCGGGTTGCTTCTCTCTCTTCTCCTTTCTCTCTCACTCGTTCTTCCTCAGGGGTGTTGTTTTGGCTTCCCCATTCGCTCTGCAACAACGCTTCTTGTACCCACGCTAACGATCCCCGTTGGGCCCAAACATCCTGTGGGGTTTGCTCATCGTGTGGTTTACCAGCGAGTGATTGTGGTGTGGGAGTGGGGACAGGGAGGTGCTGAACCTGGGGGCATATGAGGATGGCAGCTTGACGTGCTGTTCAATCCAGCCCACGGAGTCCAAAGGCACAGGAGGGTGCAGTGTGGCACGGCTGTTAAACCAGCCTGCTGAGTCCAGGGTCAGCGTGTGAGTGACCTCTCAGACGTGCTCTGTTAGTGGGGGTGAGTGTCCGTGTGTTGCTAAGGTGGGAAGAATCCCTTCCTGAGGAATCTAGCTCCTACAGGAGAGCTCCAGTGAGAGGGGGGAATTGGCAGCAGGGAGAATTCAGCTCCATATGAGAGCACAAGCACGCACAAGCAGCACACGGGTAGAATTGTTCACCTCCCCCCCACCCCATAAGAATAACCCTAAAAAATGAGCACACCCTAGAGTACTGGGCAAATCCGATCACACAATGGAAAACAACTTCCAGAGGTACAGACGTTTACACACTGTTCAGGAGCTGACCGTGCACAGTGCATAGAACGGAACAGAAGAAAAGCCCCTAGAAAAGATGGGGGCGTCTTGCCTGGGTCTTTGGGGCTCAGCTTCTCAAGCTTGGAGCCCCAGTCCGGACTGTGGTGTCCACTGCCTCGCCTCAAACCAGCTGGCCCGCGGCTAGATGTGAGCAACAGACTGGTAACTCGAACATGGACAAGGCGGTTTGGTGTGAGTATGTGGGTATAAGTGCACTAGACGCATATGCTAGAATAATGTTACTTGATTAATAAATGTGGCGTTTTGCCTTATCCCCCCAGAAAAGATCCCGTGTGATTATTTAAAGTATAACGCCCCGGAGAGTCACCTGGATTCATTCCCGACATTAGCCATGGCGCACCGGGCTCCAAGCCGGCAGCTGTCCCCAGGGGGGTATGGAAATCAAGGGCGGCATTGACAGAGGCATCCAAAGACAGGCTGTCCCAGATGTCGGCCAAAGGAAACTCGGAGAGATTCAGAAGTGGCTGTGGGGAGAGGGCACCAACTGGGAAGCGAAAAGAGAGAAGGTTAGAGAAAGGAGGGGTGTGGCAGGGAGGCGCACACCCCGCACTGGGCCGCAAAGGGTTAATACGCTGTAGTTGGAGGAAGTCCCGCCTCCCCAGCCATACTTGGCAGGTGCCAAGCGCTGGGCGAGTATAAAAGGGAGCAACACAGCTCAGTCTGAACAGGAGCTCCAGAGACGGACCAGCTACAGATCCAGACAAGGGGAGCCAGAGACCAGAACAAGCCTCCAGACCCGGCAGAGCCCTGGAAGGTGACTTACACTGTGGGGCCGGAGGACCCGAAGCCTCACGGATCATCCCCACTGCTAGAGACCGTAGGAAGCGACTCTGCGTGTTTTGGTGGTATCCTCTGCTCAGCTAGGGGTGGATTTCAATGCCACTACCAGGGCGGTGGGTCGGGGCCTGGTGGAGCTGGGGCCCTCCTCCCAGCCTAGTGCCAGAGCCCTGGAAGGTGACTTACACTGTGGGGCCGGAGGACCCGAAGCCTCACGGATCATCCCCACTGCTAGAGACCGTAGGAAGCGACTCTGCGTGTTTTGGTGGTATCCTCTGCTCAGCTAGGGGTGGATTTCAATGCCACTACCAGGGCGGTGGGTCGGGGCCTGGTGGAGCTGGGGCCCTCCTCCCAGCCTAGTGCCAGCCCCAGCAGTAGCCTCTCTAGTGGCTACTGCTTCACAACTGGTTGGACACCACGGCTCTAGAACCTCAGAATGGCCACGCTGGGTCAGACCCAAGTCCATCTAACCCAGTGTCCTGTCCACCGACCGTGGCCAACGCCAGGGGCCCCAGAGGGAGTGAAGAGAACAGGGGATCCTCACATGATCAGCTTCTGACCAAGACTAGGGACCCCATCCCGGCCTAGCCTGGCTAACAGCCATGGGCCTAACTGCCACGAATGTATCTAGCTCTTCTCTGAACCCTGTTAAAGTCCTGGGCTTCCCCACAGCCATTGGGCAGCGCTGCCCTGGAGTGGTAAGAGCAGTGTCTGCACACCCCTCTGAGCCCCCCATGCTTGGGAGGGGGTGTGCACACTGCCACAAGGGGGGAACGAGCTAAAACAAAAGGAGAACAAGGAAAAAAAACATGTTAAATGTCTATGGGTATGTCTACACTTGCACCCTATTTCGAAATAGGGATGCAAACGAAGACATTCGAAATTGCAAATGAAGTCGGGACTTAACTATCCTGCGCTTCATTTGCATAATCGCGTTATGGCGCTATTTCGAAATAACGCGTCTACACAGCGTGTTTTATTTCGAGAAAAAACCCTTCTCTCGAAATAACTGTTAAACCTCATTTTAGGAGGAATACGGGTTATTTCGAGAGAAGGGTTTTCTCTGTGTAGACGCGTTATGAGGATAGGCCAGGAAGCAAGGGGCTTAAACTGCAGCAAGGGAGGTTTAGTTCGGACATTAGGAAAAACTTCCTGCCTGTCAGGGTGGATGAACACTGGAATAAGTTGCCGAGGGAGGTTGTGGAATCTCTATCCCTGGAGATATTTAAGAGCAGGTTGGACAGACGCCTGTCAGGGGTGACTTAGACCAGGGCTACTCAACATGCGGCCCACGGTCCGTTTGTTTGCAGCCCACAGGTGGGAGCTAAAACAAAATATAATGGTCTTCTGCTGAGCCGCGTTTTCGTAGTTAAATTCCTGGCCTGTCATTGCTCAGTCAAAGTGCTGACATATGGGTGGAAATGAGGTAACGGTTGCATTTTATTCATAGCAGCAGAACTGACTTAAATGGGGCCAGCATGTTGTGTGGTCTTGCCTTAATTTTTGAATTCATGCCCATCAGTGTGAAAGAAGCTATTTGCATATATCTGCATATATATTTGCAGGTATATGCAACCACGCTTCAGTTGCGGCCCTCGGCATGTGCTGGGAGTATCGCTGTGGCTCCCAATGTTGAGTACTCCGATCTAGACGGCGCTTGCTCCTGCCATGAGGGCAGGGGACGGGTCTCGTTGACCTCTCGAGGTCCCTTCCGGTTCTAGCGTTCAGAATCTAGGATTCCACCTGTGCCCCAGGGCAGGACGCTCCATCGTCACGCTACCCTGCTCTATTGCCTTTATTTCCTTTTTATATTTAATTAAAGCGGTAATTAATATTGTGCATATAAAAGCTCCAAACTGGCTGAGTTTAGTCACTGGTGTGGTTTGTCCGGAGCGTCCCATGCTGTCAGGATAACAGCCTCCTGCTGCTACCGGCCATGGAACCTCCCCTCTTGGCTCCAGCGGCAGAGCCCTGTGAGAACAATCCCACCCTCCTTACCTCCCTCTGGTATCCCCGGCTGCGCCTGCGAAGAACTGGCGAAGACCAGAGAGCTTCCGTCCCACAGCAAGCTGTTCCCCCACGAACCCGGGCTCTCGGCAGCCGGGAGAGAGGCCCAGAAGTCCCAGGACATGGGGGAGTCCCGCTGGAGGAAGACGGGGAGTGGCACCGAGCCTGCTGGACAGAAACCAGAACCTCTGTGAGCCCGGGAGGAAGGGGGCGCTGCCCCCAGCAGAGGGCACCACCCTAACAGGGTGCGGGGCTCAGCAGGGAGCAGTCGACACAGCAGTCAGCACCAGTGCCAAGGCAGATCTGGGAGGGGGAGGTAGGTCTAGTGGTTAGAGCGGGGGGCTGGGAGCCAGGATGCCTGGGTTCTCTCCCTCACCACACAGGGGACTGTAAAAGTCTCAGAGGGGCAGCCCTGTAACTTTCAAAACAAGGCATAGTCCTGTGGCATCTTAGCTGAAGTGGAGGGGAAAAAAGCAAGGTGCGAGGGATCTCTCACAATTTATGACAGGGAAAGAAGAAAAAAAAATACCTGGCAATTGTCGGGCGGGTGCTAATTAGGGATGTAATAGTGCAGTCAATTATCCGATAAGCAAAAACGTGTAAGTTAATGCGCTAGACGACACGCATTTCCCTTCTCCCCCGCCAGTACATTTTTTTAGCAGGCTCGCACCGGGTGACACGCATTTCTCTTCTCCCCCGCCAGTACATTTTTTAGCAAGGCTCGCACCGGGTCCGGGACCTACCCCTGCTTCGGCTCTGCATTTGAAGTGTGTTAGGAGCCTGGCTCAGTCCCAGCTCACTCTGGGTCCAGGAGCTCAGACCCTCCAGACAGGTTCTGTTGCCACTCCACACTGCTACCGCTGGATCAGAGGCAGCATTGTGGGGCGAACACAGGCCAACAGCCAGCCAGTCTGGAGGGAAGCTGGTTTTTAAAGTGGCAGGGAGCTCCTTAGGAATGGGGCCAGAGCATACTGCCTGCCGGCCTCCATTGTCAGCCTTTTCTTATAAAGTACCCCTTTTTCCCCCAAAAAATGATAAGTACCCCCAGGACCTACAGTTTTCAGACACACACTCTTTTTTCTACCTGTGCAACACATGTGTGTAAACAACTTAATCAAAGCTGGGCAGGCGGTGAAATTTTTGGGTGTAAAAAGTACAAAAAGAATAAAGCGCTGTAAAACTTGAAAGAAAAATCCAGTTTTCTCCAAATATCAGTTGTGTTGACTTACGCCCCAGACGTCTCTCACGTACCCCTAAGGGTACTCGTACCACTGGCTGAGAAACACTGGACTAACCGATAATTCATGAGGTTAATCGGCTACTCAGGTAACCGATATTTAACATTCCTAGTGCTAAGGAGGCTAATTGAGTGGGCTGGAACGTCGCTTTTGATGTCAGTGGGGTGTTGAATGTAAGGAAACCAGATTTTATAGTGGTCCATCCAGTTCAAATCTTAGTTCCGGACCTGGGGAAAGTGTCAGATTTGAAGGCCAATTCTGTGCGCTCCCTCTGTGGCAGTCTCGTGAGATTCCTTTGTAGAAGGACGGCCCTTTTAAATCCACGAGTGAATTCTCACGCAGGATACACGTGCCCCTCCAGGTGTCCGGATGTCTGATTTTGAGTCCATTAATTCTTTGTCACAGCGGCCATCTGGTCTGGCCAAGGTCCATGGCCGAGGGGTACTGCCGGCCCCGGATGGTGTCGAGCACAGTAGAGGATGTAGGAGCTGGCGGCGAACATGGCGAGCGCCTGTGAGGGTGTCGCATGTACAGAGGTGTGGACGGAGCTGACAACAAGGTTTGATGCTGGGATAGATCCCTGGGTGATGGGTGAGTGTATCCGGGGTGTGACACATGGGGGCTGTCGGTCGGCGAGGACTGGCCAGTCCCCTGAGGCCGGAGATGGTTTTCCAGGAGAGGCTGGAGGTCGTCAACGATGCGCTGGAGGGGTTGGAGCAGAGAGGCTGTAGCTGAGGACAGGGGGGTCCTGTTATTTTCCTTGTTGGGAAAGAAGCCGATTCCTGGATTCTCGTTTCTTCACTTCCCCGGGGGAGATTTCAGTTTTAAGAACGCCTGATACAGATCCCATGGGGGGGTTTGTTTCGCGCGGTGGAACTGGAGCAAATCCGGTCGGATCTTAGGGCCGGGCTGTAAGCAACAGGTTGTCCATGGTGTAATTGTACCATGGTGACCAGGACGCGGCTCTCTCGTGCGGGCCGGTCCAGGCTGACCTTCCTGGCGGGCTGGAGGCTGCTGAAACCCCTGTGGAATTCTTCAGGGGATTCCCGTGGGGCCATACGATGAAAACGAGGAAACTTCGCCCAGGGCCAGCCTGAAAGATGGCAGCGCGGTCGTGGGGCCGTGGAAAGCACAAATTGCCCCCAAATTGGAAATGGTGACTTGGTGACAAATGGGGCTTGCGTGTAGTGTAGCCCCCGGGGCTTCCAAAGTCAAGCAGCTCTGATCTAGATCCATGTTTGTTAGTCTCTCGGGTCCCCAGGACTATGCATTGTTTTGAAGAGTGTAATCTAGCCACGGTTTAAAGGGGCCCCACCCCCCCAGCAGTCCCCCACTCCCTGGAATACATAGGGGGCCTGATTCCTGGCCCCCCTCCTCCGCCCCTCCACACACACACCGGGATACATCGACGCTCAAGCCTAAAAACGGTTTTCAGTGCGTGGCAGCCAGAGAGTCACTCACTCTAAACGGGACAGGGTGTCCTGCAGCCAGGTGTGACTCCGGATTGACTCTGGGGGCTGAGGTCAGAAGCCGGCCCTCCCTCAGTGCTATGGGGGGGGGGTGACACAAAGCGGGGGGAATTGCTGGGGTTTTTTCAATGGCTCGC